AAATAAATAATTTTAATTATGTTTGCTTATGTTATAACACTTTTCAGTAACAATATTTCATATTGCAGTAAATGTATATATTTAAACATAGGCCTATACATATATTTACAACAGATGTTGCAAATTTAAAGATGGTGTTGATAAATCACATTCAATTAATGTGAAGATCTAGTCAGGGTTCTCAGTCCCGCTCCTGGAGGGCCAATGTTTGTTTTTAACTCCGCCAAATTTGTTTTCCTTTCCTTTCATAAAGTATAGAGTTCAAGTTACCTCTGAGTGTTACAATTATAGGATATTTCAGAAACTTAAAAAAGCTACTACACTTTACTGTAATATGAAATATTGTTACTGAAAAGTGTTATAACATAATCAAACATAATTCAAATTATTCATTTACTTTTCCAACAAAGGCAGGGTTTCTGCGGGGCATTGAAAATCATTAAAATTCAGGACTTCCGTTCAAAAACTCGAATTTCAAACATTTCAAACAATTTTTTGCATAATTAATTTAAATTAATGTTTCTAATAGACACATTTATACAAGTAAACTGTAAACTACATGTTATTTTGTTTAGTCATATACAGGTGGGAGCTTTTTCAATTTATTACTCAGAACGACTTATTAGCCTACAACACCTTTAAAGACTTATTCAGGGAAGTACAGCAGGATGCAGGAAATTGTTGAGTATTATTTTAGGTATAAAATATCATTATTGTAATGCTTGTAATGTCCATTTATAGTCTTTACACAGCAGTTAAATGTTTAAAATGTTTAAAAACCAGCTAATTTCAAGACGCCGGCGTCACGTGGGTCACCCACAGTGTAAAGCTCAAGACCTTCCTATATTTCTCTGTTCACGCTCCACTTCATCTGCCAGTGAATTCAACGATCTTATCAGATCTCGAGCCGCCATGTTTCAAACGATCCAAACGTAACACGCTTCCGCCAATCCCTGCCTTGAAGCAATGATTGACGGAGGGTGGGCGTGGTCAGCTCGGAATGCATTTTCAAATTGAATTTTGCTACAAATATCCCACGGCGTCATGATGAAAATGCAATCCTAAGTGTTCTAACTGTTAGTCTAAATGCATTTAGGACAAATAGCATTTAAATGATCATTTTGCTACCATTTCTGCTTGAACATGTTATACATATCATAATAATTTGTGTTATACATTTTCATTTTCATTTCACAACTTATAAAGCGTTCAAATGTGCATGCAATTGACATATTAAGACTACTGTTGGAAATGGCAAATGTAAATTATATAATTTAATTTTCATTTTACTTTTGCACCAAACTTTGCACGTATGGGTAATGGAAAATGTAAATTTAAATACAGAAATACAATGCCATTTTGAATATTGCGTTGCCATTTTGAATATTGCATTTTAAATTGAATTTCGCTACCTATATGCTTCCATACTAACATAGATGCATATGCATATGTATTCCACATATACAATGTCTAATGCAGGTCACTGAGGGATAAACTGCTCTGAAATCTTTTGATATTTAAGATAATACATCTGCTGCTGTCACTGATTTCCAGCATCAGTGAGGATTTCCACAAAGTGCTATGCTGTAGGCTTTGTCAATAGCTTACTGCTTAGTGCACAAGATGCTTAAGATTAAACTGTTGCTGGTAAACCACATCCTTTCAGTTCTACATACAAGCTCGCAGACATGTATCAGTGTGGTGTACAAACTGCTGGAAGTAAAATACAGACTACTGTAAATGACGTCCATCTCTCTCACATAAACCTTTGTGGAATTGTCTACATTAAGAACAAAGTAATTATCAAATAAATAATTCAAATGTATGTGGTAAATGCAAATCTAAAGAACATTAAAAAAATATCAAACATACAGGAAATGTAATTTTATTTATGAGTCATAACTGACATTTTGTGTTCTCAGAGATTTCTTTAAGCCACGTCTCGCCAGTGCTTCCTCCAGACATCCTGAAATACCCTGCAGACTGTGATGTGGAGAAGCATGCAGAACATCAGCAACTCACACATTTAGGTAAAATGTTTGACTATATATGTGTAAATGTAGGCCAGGTTTATTTCTCAGCTCCAGTCAGTTCAGTTTTGATTCAGTCCAATTCAATAACTGTGTAAAGTTCATCAATTATGAAACAAGTTCAGTTCAGCTCAAATAAAAACAGTAGTGTCGCTATTCAGCTCAATGTTGATTCAATTCAGTCAATGTTGCTTCTTAAAGCATCTCTAAAATTTCTAAAGCTGTGACCTGGAAATCTTTCAGATAACTTTACACAGCATTCTAGAATCTCACCAAACATTCCCACAGTACACATTAAATAGAGTCAGGAGAGTTTCGAAATAAGCGTTACCGTATTTTGTGATGACTTCAACTCTGGCTTTGCGTCACTGTGTAGATCATTACGAAGTTTCCTTTGACCTCTTCTGATCTTATCTTATCAACTCGCAGACGAAGGGTACAAACCACATACATGTTGTCTTTCATTGCATGCCAATTGAATTAACCAAATAGGTTTAGCTGTTTTGGCCTCCCACGACTCCCACACTTTCCTCCTGCACTTAATTTGCCGCAGGCGATAAAGTCTCTGATGTCTCTGCCAAACATGGGGTCTGAATCGCACACTGTTGTAAAACCAGTCATATCGTGACAACAGGTAGAAGTTACGGTTTGTATAGTAATCAGCTTTTCTGGTCTAATCTCAAAAAATGCATTTACAAGAAACTGTTTACACCTACACATTTTTAATATTTAAAGAGTTTTTAATGCTTTTGAAACAGAAACGCTAAGACAGACCAATCATTTGATTTAAAATACAGTAAACAGTAAAATTGTGAAATTTAAAATAACTTTTCTATTTGAATATATTTTAAAATGTAATGTATTCCTATGATGGCAATGCTGAATTGTCAGCAGACATTACTTCTGAATATATGTGAACGTTATTCATATTATTAAAAAGTTTAAAATATTTTAGGTTCAAAAAGGACACAGCTTATTGAGATGTTTAGCCAATCACTGATTGATAATTTTCTATTTTCTTTTTCCTCAGTTGGAAAGTACCCAGACATGGACAGCAGCATACAGTGTGATGGATTTTTGCCAACGCTGACAGTGTCAGAGAAATACAGGCCTTCAGCTGCCGCAAATGGATATACAGACAGCATCACGTGCCACTCGAACTATCAGTCGGAGCCGCAGGAGTCTGAATGGAACGATTAACCTTGGCTCACAAACATCCTATTAACCTGACAATTATCTACAGTATAGAGTGGTTTTATCTGCCAGCGTAGAAGCTTTACTTCTGTTCTGGAAGAATGTGTAAATAACTAGATTTTATTTTTTTATAGAAACAAATTATTGAATACACATTTTACAAAACCTATATGTATGAAAACATAAACAGATACTGCAGTTACACATTATGTGCTCTCTTGTAGTAATCTTTATTTAAGTTGCTTTTTCCAGATGTTTCATTTCATTTCAATAAACAATTGGTATTTGAATAATCCCTTGACTGTGTATGAAAGCAAAAGGGTGAAGACTGTCATTTTGTCATACCAGGTCTTACCAGAAGATGTCACAACTGACACTGGAGACTTTTCTTTACTGATCTAGCAAAATATTACGTTTCCCAGTCCATTATCGCCCCTTAGAGGTAAAATGAGGAAATTGCAAAGAGGAAGGTGTTTAATTTTTCACTGTCTTGTTGAAATGGATCAAGGCTTCATATAATAACGTTAAAAAAATGTTTTTTTTGTTAATGTTCTGGAAAGAAGTCTTTGTGCTCACCTAGGCTGAATTTATTTGTTTAAAAATGGAGAAATATAATTACAATTTAAAGTAACATTTCTATTTGAACACATTTTAAAATGTAATTTATCCCAAAGCTGATTTTTCAGCTGCCATTAGTCCAGTCTTCAGTGTCACATGATTCTTAGGAAATTATTCTTATATGTTGATTTGGTGCTCAAGAAACATTTTTTTATTATTATTATCAATGTTAAAAAAACGTTGTGATCATTATTTTTATTATATATTGTGAAAACCATGATCAGGATTTTTTGATGATTAGATAGTTTAACAGATCTAATATTATAAATAGCTTTACTGTCACTTTCAATATAATGCATACTTAATAAAATTATTAATTTAACAAAATCTTAATGAGCCCACACTTTGAACGGTTGTATAGATAGATAGATAGATAGATAGACAGATAGATAGATAAGAGTTGTGTGTATTGTTATTAGTATTGCAATTAGCATCAGTATTAGTATAGTATAAGAAATACATTCATACAAACAGGATTTTATGGTAAAATAAATGGTTATATTCTAGAGTGGACAAATAAAACTACATTACATATTTCAGACCACATGTGTTTCAGCATTTTTAGACATTTTTAGTTTGTCTATTGCAATTAATCAAAACCCTATCACACAGATTTTTCAAATCCATTATTTCTAATACTTGCCAATCTAATAGCAGTACACTGGACATTAAATTTAATTTAGCAATGAAGAATTCCAAGTTGTACTTGACCAGCTAAACTACTGGCTCATTTAATCATTACTTTTTACTTTTGCTTACTGTAAACATATCTGCATAATACAATATTAGGGTGCCATGAATCCATATATTACAGTACCATTCCGGAATGTTCACAGAGGGCAACAGGGCTCGTCGTGATCTCATTTGAACTTTGCATTTTGGTTTGACTGCAGCCGTGAAGGGGAAACGGTGCTTTAAACGCTGATACAGTTTTATAGAAAGTGTCATCATTTGTAGTCTCCATTTAAACACTATTAGAGCCAAATCACTGCTGTGATATGGCCTCTTTCTGAACCCTGAGCTCTAGAAAAAAATCTGAGCTCAAAAACCCCCAGCAAATGGCCCCTCTATTTCTCTATCCTCACTCAGCCTTCTTAAAGACTTGCTTGGCAGTGACACCCTGAACCCTCATCTCCTGCAGAGAGAGAAAGAGAGACGTGACAGAAGAAAAAAGGATGAAGGACATTGTGAGAGATTCATAGTAGTAGCCCAGTTGTTAAAGATTCGATCGGGTTTAATCCAAGAACCAAAGACATTCAGAGAAGGTCCCATCACCCCAGTGCTTCTGAATAAAGCCTTGAACACCAAGTCGGTGAACTGAAACCATTCCTAAAATGAAAGTACTCTTTCTATAAATGAAAAGAACTAAAATGAAAAGATTTTTAATGATTTTGAAAGAATCCTTACAAAGCCTGAATTGAATTGATCCAAGTGAAATAACAGTACTATAGTAAAATATTATTACAATTTAAAATAATGGTTTTCTATTTAAATATATTTAAAAATGTATTTTATTTATTTGATGGCAAATCTAAATTTCCAGCAGCCATTACTCCAGTTGTCAGTGTCACATGATCCTTCAGAAATCATTCTAATATGCTGATTGTTGCTCGAAAAACTTCTCTAATTATTATCGATGTTGAAAACTATTAATATATTTGTGGAAACTATGATACATTTTCTCAGGATTCTTTGCATAGAAAGTACAAAAGAACAGCATTTATTTAAAATACAAATTCTTCATACAAATGTCTTTAATGTCACTTTTGATCAATTTAACGCATCATTGCTGATTAAAAGTATCAATCTTTCAAAAAAACAAAAAAAATCTTCAAAGGACTTCAAACTTTTGAATGGTAGCAAGTAGCAACGTGTAACCCAAAAAGAATGTTTTCTATTTAAACTAGCCCACAAAAGGCCCATCACTCATTTAATCCCCCTCCTCCTCTTCATCTCTTCTTTCACCTACTCTTTTCATTTTGGTCCGTCTCTTTTCTCACACTTTTTATAATTGCCATAGATTTGCCATTAAATAAAAATATAAATAAATTGAAAAATGTAGAAATAAAAAATATATATGCAAACACATATTTATAGAAATTTAACTCAATTTATAATAGCAATCCCGTATTATTCTATGTTATTGATAAATCTTCACACAGTTTTATCAAAAACTTTGTCCAATTTTACATTGTACATAACATACAAGTTAGTTTATATACTCCTCCAGACACTGAATAATGTATATATGTAAAGCCGTTTTCCTGGCCCGGGACAATCCCTGCTTCCTTACCAAATGGAGGAGGTTTCCTTCTAGCCAGTGTGTCCAGCCTCTGCCCTCTTTCTCTCCTCGCTGCACGCAGACCAATTTATCACCGTCCCAGTTCACTGTGGTCTGAAACATATGGAGAACATTATCCATTAGCGCCACACATACCACACTTTCCCACACTCCTTTGTCTGGCTGATGTTACTTTTAAAGGGGCCCATGTGTTTCTCACAAATACATTACAAATGGGTTAACCAGGAAAAAAATATATATAATAATAATTTAAAAAACACGCACACACACACACACACACACACACACACACACACCTGGCACTTTCGCCCATCGACTGGTCCCAGGTCCTCAGTGAACTCCTGTCCCAAAGTGAAGTCCATGTCAAAGTTCCTAAAGGTGGTGACTGTCTTAATCTTCATTTTGCCAGAGTTCACATCGTGTTCAATATGTTTGCTGGGTTTCAGAATGCAGACCACTTTCCTTAATGCATAATTAACATCTGATGCGGAGAGAAAGAAAAATGAAATGATTAGCATACTTAATTGAAAAAAGAAGATTATGTTATTATTTACTTCATGTCGTTCTAAACCATTTTTTTCTTCAGTCTGAAGGATTTGTTCTGAAATAAGAATGTTATTGAATTCACTGATTCAATGATCTGGTCACACTCACAGTGGTAAAAGATGATTATCAGTGGAAAAAACAGCATGCATTTCAGTTTATTCATCACTCAGAAGCTATTGTATGAATTCAGAAGATTTGGAATATAATGCATGAATTGTGTGATCATTTTTACGATACTTTCATGCTGATTTTAAATTTGAACGCTCCATTATTGCAAACAACTTTTCAATAAAATTTTCCACAAAAGAAAGCCATTCATACATACAAGTTTGAAACAACAATTTTCATTTTTAGGTGAACTAACCCTTTAACACCACGCATAACATGTTGAGACGAGTATTACAAGGTTCTATCCGATGAATATGAATATGATACAGGGTTTAGAGACAAATTCATACATGTCTTCACGTTTCCAGTTGTATTCTTCAGAAACTAAATTGCTATGATCTCGTTTAGGCTTTCTCCCCCAAGGCAAGAAAATGATTGGATTGTATTTTATTACACTAACCCAGATTAAGAGGTAGGCTACATCATCCTCATGTTCACAGAGATTTAAAGACAGGTGGAAGAGGAACATCAAGGTCAACAATCAAAGTGAGTCACTGTGGTTCGTTTTGAATAGACTCTTTATATACTATGACAGTTGATCATAAGCTCGTAGACTGCCAAACTGACAAAAAAGCAATAAAAAATAAGAATATATCAAATGTACTGTTGCTTACCCAAAGCCGCGAGATATTCTTCAAAATTTTCCTGGGAAACCATGTTGTAAATGCCAGCATAATTAGGTTTGGACATTTTCTCAGTTTGTTTTTTGTTTGACACAAATCCAACTAAACTTTGTGTGATCTCTGCCACCGTGGGCTTGCTTTTCCCTCTGGTTATCTGCCTGATCTCTATCCGTGTCTCTAGGCAGCACTATCGCATTGTACGCTAGTTAATTTGGTTAAATTATAGCGATTGACGCCGTTTCCTACTAACAGCACGCGAAGTGAAGACACCGAGCAGAAATCCGTGGTCTGGTCAGTGTTTCCGGGAATTTATTCCGTGATGTTGCGTTACACAATGCTCCAAGACCTAGCTCCGCTTCGTCCTCTGTACAGTAGACCCAGTGTTGCCAAACCCCTCCCTCAGAAAATCTCTAGAACCACCCTCAAAAGTCTCCATTTTTCACAAAACGTCGCCAAATATGAAAACAAAGTAAATACAGGCAGATTTGGTAAAGGTAAAGGAAAGTAAATATATATATATACTTTACAAATGATGATAGTATAAAAAATATAACAAAAGATTAAGTATAACAAAAAATTCTGAAGTGAAATTAGGAAATGCTTGTGATCTGCAAGCACATCAAACATGATGGAAATGATGGTAAATACAGGTAAATTTGGTAAAGGTAAAGGAAAGTAAATATATATATATACTTTACAAATGATGATAGTATAAAAAATATAACAAAAGATTAAGTATAACAAAAAATTCTGAAGTGAAATTAGGAAATGCTTGTGATCTGACTGCAAGCACATCAAACATGATGGAAATTATCTTCCGGAATCTGGCAGTAAGTTTTGGGAGTTCATTTTTAGTTTTTCACTTCCAGCCTTCATGAACAATAATATAGAGATTATAAGTGATTAAATACAAGATTAATAGTAGTTATTAAGATTGA